TTCTGCTAACTGCTTACTATGTATCTGTAACTCCAGCCTCATTACCTCATTTAATCACCTTCAGATTATCTCCAGTTTACAGGCACAGGAACTAAAGGTCAGGGTTCCATGCCTTTTCAAATCACATAGCTATTCCAAAGAAGATACACGAATGGCCAATAAGTGATGAGAAGATGCTCAGCATCATTATCCATTAGAGAAATGCACATCAAAACCACAATGAGGATGTTCAGCAGAAAAGAAAAGGCCATAGCATAGCTACAAACAAGGAAATGATGAAAAGGAAAATTTCACTGATAAAAGCAGACATATGGTAAAGATAGGAGAGTGATCACTTAAAAGCTAGTATGGAATTCAAAAGTCAAAAGTAGAAACATCAAAATATCTTAAAAAGTTAGTTAAGGAAATAAGAAATAAAAACGTAAAATATGACACTAAAAAAAAAAACACAAGGAGAGGCCTCTTCATACCCATTAAAATAGTTATGATTTACAAAACAAGTGTTGGTAAGGATGTGGAGAAATTGCAACCTTCACACACTGCTAGTGGGAATGTAAAATGGTACTGTCACTTTGGAAAACAATCTGGCAGTTGCTCAAAATGGGTTGTGTAGGGTTACCACAGGACCCAGCAATTCCACTCCCAAGTATATAACCAGAGAAATGTAAGCATGCTTCCATGCAAAAACTTACTTACAAATGTTCAAAGGAGCCTTGAACACTTGATAATAGGCAGAAAATTAAACCAACCCAAATGTCCATCAACAGATGAATGGATACATAAAAGATGGTATAGCCATATAAGGGAATATTACACAGCCATAAAAAAGAATGGAATACTGACATGCCACTACATGGATGAACCTTGAAGACATTATGCTAAGTGAAAGAACCCAGACACAAATAGCCAATTATATGGTTCCATTGATATGAAATATCTAGAATTGGCAAATCTACTGGGACAGGAAACAGATGAAGGGTTGCTCAGGGTTGAGGGGTTAAAGGGAAATGGACAGTGACTGCTAATGGGTACAGGGTTTCTCTCAAGGGGTAAAAAAAATGCTCTAAAATTGTAGTGATGATGGTACAACTCTGACTAGAAACCATTGAATTGTATGTACAAAATATGTGGGCAAATTGCAATGATATGTGTATCATATTTTGATAAAGCTGTTAAAAAATCATGCCACCAGCAAAGAGGAAAGGACAGAATCCAGCTGGGCTTTTTGTGACTCCAAGGGCTTGCCCCCCAAACTCCCCAACCACCACCCCACCTCACTTAACAGTGGATCTGGAACTCCAAAGAATCACCAGGTGAGCTTGTTAGACATGCAGATTCCCTGGCTTCCTTCCCAGAATCCAGTTCAGTAGAGGGGATGAAGATCGGGGGGTCTTCCTGTTTAGCAAGATCCACTCAAGTCTAATGCAAGTGGTCTGAGGCCACACCTGGAAAACCAACCCACTGTCCCCTGCTTTTCGGAGTAGGACCTCTGAATCTCAAAGCCAAACATGGGCATTAGTGAATGAAATTAGAGAAACTGGAGATTTCAAAGGGCAATTTTTCTACAGAGAGTAAATTTTTTTTCAGAAGCTGGATAGAAGAAAAGGAAGGAAGAAGAAAGAGAGACATGGACACCCATGAACTAGGAGATGTATTGGAGGGAGATTAGGCAGCAGACTGGGGGTCAGAAACCCATCAAAGGGAGAAGGAATGTCAAAGGCTTGTAGAAATTATTCCATAGAGGAAAGAGAGCAAATACACACACACTAGCCAAGTTTACCACCTGCCTGGGGCTTCCAGGATGATTTGCTTCATGCTCAAGTGTAATCCTGGAGAAAGAGAATTTCGGTGAACTTGAGGAAACGTCAGTTCTCTGGGGCTTCTTTTTGAAGAACTAATCTGAACAAGCTTGGAAAGCACCCAGCAGTGGAGGTTAAATTTCAATCTTTTTGTGCTGTTACATCTTTGTTCCCTTTACCTTCTCCTTGAAGCGGAAATGATTGATGCTTAAGTAACTTCAGCTATTGGGTAATGTTTATTCAGACTGCGGGGGAACAAGATAGGGCTTAAAAATGAGGTGGACATGTTTCCTTTGAATGGCACAAGTTGAGCCTTTGAAAGTCAAGTGTATTCCCAATTGCACAGTATAATAAAGAGAGGGGGCCAGTGGGCAAAAGGTCTCCTGCAGATGATCAATGTACAGTAGTTAAGTGCAGCTCAAATACTCTCATGAAGCCACCTGAGCTGAAACCCTGGGTTATAAATATTGACTGGGCCCCAGATCGTTTTGAGCCTATCTGAGGTCTTTTTATGAGCCCTTTCAACCCAGCAACTGGTGAGCTCTGTAAATAAGCTTCTAAAGCTTTGAGAAAAGAGGCAAGTCGTGTTCCCATTCCCAGACTCTCTCTAGATGGCGCCAGCCCCTCCTCAGAGATAAGGGGAGCCAGGAGGAGAAGACCCAGCACACCCCCCCACCACCAGTGCCGGACAGGTTTCAATCACCCCTGGAGAATCCCAGACTCTACCCCATGTGGGCTTCTTTAGCTCAGGTTGGCTGGTTGTAGTAGCCAACCCAGCTCAGACCCATCCAAAACATGCCCAGAGATTCAGTCCAGCATGCTCTTATTAGATCTTCAAGTCTGAAAATAGGCAAGCAAACATAGGATAGTGCCATGTCTTACTTGTCTTCATTTTGCCAGGCTGACCTAACAACTGACTTGGTCATCTGTGAACCTATGGGTTGAAGATGGGACGAGGGACCTGCACTCTCTGGGAAGCAAAGGGAAGCCTTTCTGGCTCTGGATCCATGACAAGTGTCTTTGGAACACTGTGAGGAGACAGCCCCCGCCTTCTGGGGGACAGGGAGGAGTAGCTGAGGGTCTGTGGGCACGCTGTCTCCCACTCACCACCTGCTCATGGCTTGGTCCCTGGGTCTGCGAAAGAAGAAAGTGGCTTTCTGTACTGAGGACCAACGCCTCGTGGCCAGCCATTCCCACCAGCCTGTGACCAAGGAGGCCTCAGGCCCAATGGGAGAGGGAACGAGAGGCGAAGGGAACTGCCCAGAGCTGCCACAGGGACTCCGGGGTTGGTTTCGTAGACAGAGCTGAGTAGGTGGGAGTATCTCAAGACCCATGAGCTGGGATCAGAAGGGTTCCTACTGCTCAGAGGCCAAGAGGTGTGGACATGGCTGCCAGACTGATGTCACATCCCTGCAGATGGATTTATCAGACTCACCCGCCCTATCTCTTTGGGCAGATGAAACTGCCAAAGAGCTGCATGCTGAAAAATCAGTCCCCAGCCACTCCTGAGGCATGAACTGTGGCTGTCGGCAGAAGGGGACCAGGGGACAGAACCAAGGAGCCTATCTGTCCTCCGCCAGCTCTAGAGTCCTTGACCTTGGCCAGCGGCTCTCAATCCTGTTGTCCCATTAAAATTACCTGGAGAGCTTTAAAAATCTTTCAGTAAGTGGGCCTGACCTCAGATTCAAATTGGCTGCCAGGGGTGTGGCCCAGGCATCAGCATTTTCCACACAATCCTCCGGGAGCATCCAGTGTGCAGCCAGAGCTGGGAGTCACTGGCCAGCAGGGGCCACCCCTCTGCTCTAGGGGAGAGCTGCCCCCTCACTCAGAGGGATGCTGGTGTCCAATTTCTCCCGCCCCCGCAGCCCCGCTGGCGTCAGTTTGCCCACTAAGCCAGCTCCTCCCAGACAGGCAGGCCCAACCATAAATTTTAATTCAAAACTTCTCCTTTTTATTATTTTCAAATGCTCAAGGCCCTAAAAGTGATGAGAAGTTTTTCTTGCACTGTGACCTGCCGAAAAGCAAAATTTCTCTGCAAGTTCCCTTCAACAAGGTGCCTCATATTTTAGCAGCCTCATGGCGCCCCGCCACACACGCATACACACACACACTGAACTGGTTATTCTTTGCATCTGTGGATACTCTTCTACCCAAATGCAAGACCAGTGACTTCACTCTGTGAAACTCTTTGTGTGGCAGCTCTTTCTCTGGGGCCAAATGGAAAGAAAATCCAGATTATCATGGATAATGTTAGTGCTGACAGGTACCGGCGCATGACTCCACCTGTACAGGCTGCCTCCTCGATGAAACACATGTAACTTGTGGCAGCATGAATTACTGCTGCTCCAGTCAGCATGAGCTCACCTGCATTCCAGGGTTGTTTTGTTTCTTGACTGTGGGCCTGACGCCCTATGTGCCTGATGCCATGTACCTGAGAGTGGCTGAGCCCCTTCTGGCTGGCCTCCTGCCTGCAGTATTGAAAAACCTGAGCTGAAGCTTTGCTTAGCACCTGGAAAGAATTCCTCGTTTGGCCCCACCCTGTCCTCCATGGCCTGAGCCTGCCTGGGGAAGGCTCCGTCCTCGAGGTCACATTGCCCCTGGGGCAGCAGGCTCTCTTGGTCCAGGAACCCTGGGGAAGGCGCGTTGCTCTGGCGAGCTAGAGAAATTGGGCCCAGCAGGGCATGCCAGGGCCTGGGTAGCTGCATTTCTAACCAGCTTCCGAGCGATGCAGACGCTGCAGTCCCTGGACCACACTTTGAGTAGCCAGGCCTGGGGGTGTCCTACTGACTGTAGATCTGGGTCCAAACCCAGCTGGAGCTTTAAGGGAAACATCCTGGTTTGTAGGCAGAAAAGTAGTGGAACGGGGGCACAGCGTGTGACCGTGCTCTGGCTGATAAGTACTGCTGATGTCGCTAGAAAGCAGTCCGTAGCCGAGCCCTCCCTTTTCTCTTCCCTCCCTCCCAGCCCAGATCTGCTAGCAGCACAGAAACCAGAAATAGCCCTCTGTTGAATTCCTCCTGCAGCCCCTGCAGAATAGGAGATGCCCTCCTAATTGCTGAATGCAGCATGTCAGGTCACAGCCCACCTCTCCAGCCTGAGTGCCTGCCTGCCCCACGTTCCCATCCTGGCGCTGATTCCCACCCTCCCTTGGGCAGGCACCCAGGACACCCTGCTATTGTCCTAGGCCCAGGCCACAGTTACCTCCTCTGTGTGGTCTCTCCACCTTCAGCTGGAATGATTATGTTCCCCGGGTCTCAGAACACTTTGAAGACCCGCCTGCTCCGGAGCGTTCCTCCTTGTGCTATAATTGTCTCCCCTGCTGGTCTCTGAACACCTCCAAAATAGCACCTGCAAGGCACGTGGTCCACATCCAGTCAATGCCTGTTTAAAATATAAATACACAGAGTGTCTATTCTCTCTGGCTTCCCCCTGTGCACAGAAGCAATCTTTCCCTAACAATGTAACAAAAATGCAGTGGGCTTGAGAGATGGAGAGGAGGCCCAGAGGGCATTCTCAGTGCTGGGGAGCGGTCAGGGCAGAGGATCACTGCTCTGCAGGAAGAGGAAATAGATGGAAAGTTACCTCTTGCCCACTCTGCACTCCCCGTTAATCTTTCCTAAGGCACAAAGCCCTGTCTGCAGCCCAGGCCTCCCTGGCAGGTGTACAGACCCCTGGCTGTATGAGCACTGAGGATGATCCCTTTGACAAAGAAGTGTAGCCCCAGAGCCAGTGGTCCAGGGTGTCCCTCTGGGCCTGGGGTCCATGGGAGGCCTCAGCACTTTTGCGACGGGATGGACTCACGTCTCTCCATCTCTCGGTCTCTTGGGCAGCGGGGCAGGCCTAGGTAAGAGCTTTGTGGGCCCCAGGCAGGTGCCTTGGGGGAAGCCATTCCCTTTCACTGCAAACAAACTAAGATACATCCCTGCTAACATCTAAACTCATTTTTATGTAAGTATTGAAGCAGGGTGACTTTTAGATGTACTATTATGTTTTGGAGACGTTGAATTCAAAAGGTAGTCATTCCGGTTTGGTGGTTTTGTCCCCTCTCTTTGAGGGAGGGGCAGTAGCTCCAGCCCGTCTGCAGGGTCCGAGTCCCCAGTGAGCTCAGCACCTCCAGAGATCAGGCCTGCCTGGCTGGGGATGAGACAGGGAGCAGAGAGGTGTCACTTTTCTCTTCTTCCTTTATCTTCTTGGACAGGCATCAGTGCACAGCTAATGGCTTCTCTTCTCTGTCCCCAAACTAGATTCTTCCTCCAAGCCCCCTCTTCTCCAGAGAGGGGGAGTAAGTTCCCTGTAGGGTCAAGTCATTTACCTCAAGCCAGGAACTCAGGGACAGACACCAAGAAGTCACCAGGATCAAGACATCAACTTATGGGCTTGTCCTTTCTTGGAGAGGGGCCCTCCAGACGTGATCCTGCAGCTGTGCCTTTTTGATGTTGCCTAAGCGCCCAGCCCTCTGCAGGCAGCCTGGCTTGGGCTGAGGGAAGCTCTGCCGCCCAGCCTAGCTCCTGCCCGGGGCCATGGCGGCCCTTATCACTGGCCATCCCGCACCAGGGGACCTTGGTGTATGGGCCCTTTTAACCTCAGGTGTCTTCAATGCCCAGGCCCCTGCCAGACACCCCAGAAACAAACCTGCAGCCCGAAGCCTCCTGACCTGGGCTGGGCCAGGAAGGTGCAGGCTCCTACAGCCCTGAGCACCGCATTCCACCGGCGCCTCACCTCCTGGCTGGCTCAGACAAGCAGCCCGCCCTCCCCTCCGGATGCCCAGGCAGAGGCCTTCCTGCTCCCTCAGTGGCTGAGCCTAATTGCAGCCTGGATGGGACCTGAGGGCCCCAGAGCGTGCGCACAAGCCAGGAGGTTCCTGCTCTGAATTCTTTGGCATGGAGGACTCCCGCACTGAGCGTGTGGCAGCTGAGAAAAGGACAGTGCAGGGACGCGACTAATTAAGCTGTAAGCCTTCCCCAGAGCCCCAGTTCATTTGTAAATATGTTCTCTGATCTCAGAAGCACCTTGGGCACTCTGGGAGAGCTGGGAGGGGAAGGGGGAGCAGGTCACTGAGAAGTTGATCAGATTTAAAATGGATTTTCATGAAACTGACATTTATACCCGCCATTCTTGGAGAATCTGGCTCCCTGAGAAGAACCATGAACTGTGCCTAATTCTGCCACATGATCTGAGGAACTCCAATTGGCCTGCCCTGAGGGGCACCTACTTGTTTTATGCAGGTCAGGGGACCCCTGTGCGGTGTGATTTTGGAAGGCTCCCCCCACCACCTTGCTCGGGCCCACAGAAATACCCTGGTTAAGCTCACTGATGCTGAAAATTGAGTCGCACTTTAATTCTAGCGCTTTGGCATCACAAAAATCCAAACACTGTGTTTGTCTTAACAGACGCTACACCTCAGTGAGAATGACCCAGTTTCTAGGAGGACCTAAGCGCTGGATCTCCAACCTGTGTGTTTTAAACAGTCAACCAATCAAAACGTGACCTAATTTTTAGACCTACTTTTTCAAATGGGTAAACTGAGGGCCAGAAGAAATTAGTGACTTAATTCAAGGTCACGCAGGCAGAATGTGGTGGAGTGGGACTTGCATCCCGGTTATCTGGCCTCAAATCGAGCAGACTCAGCAGTACACACGGAGTGGTGTAAGAAAAAGGTGGATAGCCGAGGAGTTGTCAGGCAGGGTGGCAGAGGCTGGTCCTGGGGAAGGGCGCCATGCAGAAAGGGAGGCTGAACTTGGTTCCCATTATCACCTTTGGTCATTTTTTGATTTGTTGACTGTTGGAAAAATCCAGGTTGGGGATATAGCCATGCTCCAAATATAAATTACAAGCAGAAACACGCTGATGCGCTTACTGTCTGTTAAGCTCAGCCCTGGGCACTAATGGGCCCTGTTGATATATACTCCGGCCTGAGTGGAGCACATGCTCTCCCAGAAACCCTGCTCCCCAGACAGCCCCGCATAACTCAAGAGCAGCAGCTCCTCTTTGCACAGCCTTTGAAGAAAACCAGATAATACTGGGCTCAACCAAGTTTAGGCAGTGGCTATTTCTTTTAAAAACAAAGAAGGAGACAGACAGAATTCCTGCCTGAATCTGTTCACCCCGCGCTGGTGGCCAAGCCCCAGGAATTCTGCCTTGGCTGCAAAGACTCAGGCCTTAGCACTTTTCTGAGCAATGGGGCCTGGGGCCAGAGGCTCCGCCCAGGGTCCCCGTTCCCAGAGTGGCAGCAGGGCCGGTGAGACGGGGCTGGCCCTGGAAGGCCGTCCAAATTTGTGGAATGAAGCTAGGGGATGTTGGGACTTTCTGTTTTTACTACAAATTATAAAACATAAACAACTATTGCTTCCTAAAATTTTAATAAAAATTCAAAAGTTAAGGAACTTAGCCCAGTGCTTGCCATAGTATCAGCACCCCAAAAATGGTAATTGTAGGAATAATACATTTCTAATTATAAAGGTAATCTCTCTCATTGTAAACAAATTTAGAAAACATTGAAAGTATACAGAACAAAATTAATTCATCTATAATCCAAACTCCCAGACAGGGTACATTATGGATATATATCCTTGCAGAATTTTTTTCTAGCCATAAACTCAGTATATCTATATCATAAACTGTGTATGTCTATATCACACATCATAAATGGAATGTATTTGCAAAAATGGAACCATGATACATGTACTGATTATATTTTAACTTTTAAGCATTTCATGAATTTCTTTCCATAATAACAAATATTTCATCGAATCTGTTTTTTTACAACTGCATAGTATTCCATTATATTAGTAATGACTCTTCAATAAGTATCCTTGCACATAATGTTCACTCCCTTGCCTGTGATTTTCTCTGGATAAGGCTCAGAAGTTGGACTCTCATAAGCTTTTAGGGTGCATGTTCCCACTTCCCCCCAGAATGAGGTACCAGTTTTCATGCTAACATCCTCTCAGGTACTAACAATATTGACATGAGTCTATCCTCACCATTCATGGATCTCATGTCTGCAAACTCACAAAAAACATTCCAGAAAGTCTCTTAAAAACTCTGATTCAAATTTTTAATCTTTTAACTTTGAATGCCCTGGTACCTAGCAAACACTCAGTAGATATAGAGTGTGTTAAATGAGTAGAGAAAAGTCAGAGGTTGTTATGTAGTTGGGACCCCACGCAGCATAATGAATTTGCCTCTTTCCTCTTTTTCTTTAACCAGTATCTTTCCCCACCCTGCCTTTGGCTGGTCCCTTCTGGGCATTTCTCTGAAGTGTAATCACCCAGCTTACATGTTGCGTCACAGAAAAGCAAACTCCAGATGATACCCTTGACCTTCCACTACCCACTTAATTTGAAGGCCAGCAGTAGCACTGAAAAACTGATGATGTAGCACAGGTAATCATATTCCCCAAAGGAAAAAGAGGAAAACAAAGATGTTATTTGATTTATAAACCTATTTATCTGGAAGAAGTAAAATATTTGCGGAAGAGTAATATTTTGTGACATGTGGAGATTATACAGAGTTCATATTTCAGTGTCCTTAAATAATTTTATTGGAACAGAGCCATCCCCATTTGTTACCAATTGTCTGTGGCTGGTTTTGCAATACTATGCTTGAGTTGAGTAGTTGCTACAGAGACTATATGGCCCACAAAGCCTAAAATATTATTCTATGGCCCTTAACAAAAAAGTTTGCCAACTCTTGCCCTGGACGTAGGAAAGGATAGTTAATCACAATGTACTTTAAAGCGTCTATGTGTGTACACACAAGTACTAGTGCTACAAAACTTGTTGAAGATAGTGGTTCTCAAACCGTTTCGCATCAGAGCCCTTTTTAATCTCGAAAATCACTGAACACCAAAAGTGCTTGTTTAATATGGGTCATATTTAAGATGTGAAATATTTGCCATACTTGAAATTAAAATCATGAAACATTAAAAATGTTTATTTATTCACTTGTTTAAAATAACATATAATCCCATCACATATTAACACATATAACACATTTTTATGAAAAACAGCTATATATTCCCAAACAGAAATTTCTTCCAAGAGGAGTGGTGCTTTTACATGCATGCTTTACATTTTTGCAAATCTCTTTAAAATGTGGGTGAACAGAAGACAGGTAAGAGTCTCATAATTGCTTCTGTTCTCTCTCCGTTGCAGCATTACCCATCCAATGGTCTCTGGAAAACTCCACCATAAACTTACAAGGGAATGAGGGAGAAAAAGACAAATAACATCGTAATATTATTAAGAAATATTATTGTAATATTATCATGAAAATAGTTTTGACCTAGTGGATTCTCTGGAAGTTTCTTGGGGAGCCGCGGGAGCCCCCAACCAGACTGAGAACTGTTGGTTTAGAAACACAGGACGTACATAGAACAACAGCTGCAGAAGGAAACCCCTGGAGCGAGCGGACTGAGTGGGAGCAAAGAAGACCCCTGTTGCCTCCCCTTCCAGCTAGGTGACCAGCGTGTCCGAGACGGAAGGTTAGGGCAACACAGGCCATCTCCTCACTTGGTACACAAACCGGGCGGGGCCAGCCGCCCTCTGTCAGTCCTGGAGCCAAAGCCTGGGGAGGAGAAGGAGCAGCTTCAGGGGCAGCAGCTCTTCCTCCTCAGGGCCCCACCTTTCCATAAGCCTCCTCTGTCTTCCTTCCTACTCCCCCTTCTCTCCGTGCTCATCCCTGTACACGGGGAAGAGAAGCTGGGGACATGCCACTCTGTAGGTTGTTGGGAAGGACCAGAGCAGCTATTTGCATTTCCGTGGGCACGTCTGTCTGAAATCCTTCCTTCAGCTGGAGGAGCCCTTTGCCTTGGAGGCTGCACCTCTGCCCCCCGCCAGGGCTCCCCTTGCAGCCCCGCTGTACCAATGCCTGGGGCATCATTAGGATGAGCTATTTTCTCACCCGGGGAACACAAGATTCAGTCTATTCCCATACCTTCCTTTGCTCTTTTTTAGTTTTCAGTTGTTGCTGCTCTGTTAAAACAGAGGCCAGAATGCTGAATCTGAGCCCCAAAGCGACCTCGTCTGAGCATGAAGGTGAGGTCTGTGACGTGCTTGCTGCATGATGAGCTCCGTCCAGTGTGGTGGATTCTGATGGGAGTACTTATTAGTCCGCATTTATTCTCTGCTTACTAAGGGCCAGGCACAATTTCAAGCACTTGAGACACAGACCACAAATCATACATCTGCTTTCCCCGTTTTCTTTAATTCTGCAGTTTTAAGCTAGGCATATCGCTTCCCAGTCTACACACAACTTCTGAAGCCTGCCTTGCATCCTGGTGTGGCCCTAGGACTAAGTTTTGGTCAATAAGGTATGCAAAATTAGCCCTTTGCCTCTAGTTTCTCTCTTCTTCCTCCCTGCCAGCTGCTGTGAGGATCTGATGGCTGGAGCACTAGTGACCATCCTGGGTCAGAGAAGAGAAGCCATTTGTTGAAGATGGTGGAACAAGAAGTTAGTAGGAGCCTGGGTCCCTGATGCTGGGCAATATACCAGCATGGACTGCCTGGCTCTGGACTTCCGAAGGCAATAACTATCTTCTGCTTTAAGCCACTGTTTTCTATTTCAAACAGCTAAACATAATCCTAATGTAACCCTTAAGAGTTATTACTGTTAATCCTTTTAACAATAATAGGACATCAACCTTTTCCAAATGAGGAAACTGAGCATATAGAGACAATATAACTAACCATGTAGGTCATAGGTATAGGCCTATGTAGGCCATGTA